AAAATCAGACTTGGGGCTAGGGATGTAGCTCAGCCGTTGAACATGTGCCTAGCATGTGTGATCTCTTGACTTTGATCCCCCGTATGAAAAGAAAAATAATATAAGCAGGATAGTTTATAGGTATTTAAGAGGCAATGAGCAATATAATATGAAAGGCACAGGCTTTGCAATCAATCTGACCTGGGTTGCTAAACCTAGTTCAGCTGTGTGGCATCAGGAAATTTACTCAGCCTCTCTGAGGCTCTCATCTGCAACTGGAGGACAAAACTTACCTGGCAGTGCTGTCTGAAGAGCATATGAGGTTATCTGGAAAGGCAGTAGCACAGAGCCTGCACACAGTAGAAAATAAATGGCAGCTCTCACTATCAAATCCGATTGCACAGACACCACACTCATATGTCCTTCCTTGAGAAAGTATGAGGCTGGCCAGCTATGTGGGTCACTGAAACCTTCATTTAAAATGTACTAGTTCATTAAATCCCAAAGCCTGGGAACTCTTTGTAAGGCTGTGAACAACCCAGAATAAAGTCCCTTTATGTAGGCCAGAGCTGATGGTTTCAGTTTCTGGGCGTATGGGTGGAACTCTGGCTCCTGGAGGCTGTGTGGCAACTTTGGCCTCATGTCAGACCATCTGAGGGTGGCCTGGGAGAGACACTTTTCTATGAAGGGGACATTTTGTCAGGGGACTCGGATTCTAGGGTCCAGGTCTGCTCTTTCCAGAAGACCCAGCCTGCCCTTCTGTTGTCCACTGTGATAGAAGCACAAGACAGCTGGGGGCCCTCAATAAAACAGTAGGCTCTTGATACTAGATTATTCGTAGCCTATAAGGTTAAGATATCTTTTATTGGGTAAACACCAGCCAAACGCAAGCCAGAACATGCCAGGGGCAGCAAGGCAGGGAGGCCAGAGAGAAGGGGCTCCCATGTGCCTTGCAGCCCCTTAAAACCCTATCATGAGTCATCCTGACCTCACCTTGACAAAGCCCTGACAGGCAAGGTAAGGCACACCTGTAGCCAGCTCTAGCAGGCATGGCTTACACTGTCCCCTACAGGCTTTCTCACAAATAGCTGAGTAGCTCAGCATTTCTGTTGCCACCCCCCTCCTTCTGGCAGATAATCTGAGTCTTCAGAGGCCATGTCTGTGCCCTTACACACCGTCTGCCTCCCCGACCCCCACCACTTACACCCTAGTCGGTCATTTAACCACCTCCTGAGCAGTGTCGGTTTGACCCCACTGTATGGCAGCCCTGCTTCACAGAGAGCTATGGCTGGAGGAGGAAAGGCTTGGCACCCATGCAGTATGTGGGTGTTTTTACAAAGTGTTTGCTGTGATCTCTCTCAAGCCATGCGGTATCCAGGAGTCCCCCTAAGGTGATGAGTACCAAGATGTGGCCTTGCCTCTTCTTAGCTCACACTGCTATTGTGTTAAGTGGCCTCTGTTGTGCCTCTCCTTTAGCTGTCTTTGAGACTTAATGATTGGAGGCTGTTCTGGCAAAGGAGGAAGGAAAGGGCCAGAGAAATGGCTCAATGGTTCTCAGCACCCACAGTGGTGGCTTACAACCAAACATCCATAATTCTGAGGAATCTGATGCCCTCTCTGACCTTCACAGGCACCAGGCATGCACGTGGTGCCCATCAGGAAGGAAAGGGCCAGAGAAATGGCTCAATGGTTCTCAGCACCCACAGTGGTGGCTTACAACCAAACATCCATAATTCTGAGGAATCTGATGCCCTCTCTGACCTTCACAGGCACCAGGCATGCCACATATACATGTGGGCCAAACGTGGATACATACAAAATAAATACTTAAAAACTAAAAACGGGACAGGAGAACAGAATCCAGTCCCCCAGAATTTGGGACAGGGCTTAGTCTTGTGTACAACTTGCTAACATTCACTGTACTGATGCCCCTGGAGATGCTAGAGTGCCCTCCTGATCACCTGGCCCAGAGGAAACTGAACAAACAGCTTTACCAGAAACCGAGACTTGTAATCCTGCCTTTAAGTTTACTGGAAACTAAAATGTCTTCCTGCTTGAATGTTCTGACATTTAGCCATCCAAGACTTCTTGGGAGCAAACATTACAGAATGGGACTGTCTGTGCTGTGACCTGGATAATATCACTGTCTCTATGTCACAGGCTCTGAATAAGTTGACCTTTCAGCCATAGATTTCTGACTTCTTGTCCACTGCCTCTGTGCTCTGGGAACATCATAGATTTTCATATGCTGTCTGCCCTGGTTCACACGCTTCCCTCTCTTTCTCTGACCCCTTTAATTTGTACCACTCTTAGAATTTTTTTTTTCAGTAAGATTGGATAAGCATCTCATAAAAGAGATCCAAAATCCCCCACAAATGGTTAATAAACAGGTGAGAAAGTCTACCCTGAAGGTAGTTAGGACAGATAAAACTTAAAATCTCAACAGGGTACCACTACATGTCCAGTGGGACTGCTTACATTAAAAAGACGGAGAATGCCTGCACCTGGGTGAAGACATGGAGTAATGATGTCTGACACAGTGGTGTCATGAATGAAGCTGGTGCAACTGCCTGGAAAGCCACTGTGGTTTGCAGAATGTTAACATTCTTCAGTGTAATTGTTAATCCGTGATCCAGCAATCACCCTTGTTCACATATACCAAACAATGTATGCACATATGCATTAAAATATATCTTCAAGAGTATTCACCAACACTGGCAATAACTCAAGTAACCACTAGTAATAAAATGAAGCCAACTATAGCCCATTCACACAACAGTGGGGATGAATGACTGCAACCTCCCCAGTGCTGGAATTACAGGCATGAGCCACTGGCTTAACTTCTAGTTTGGACTGTTGTTAATCAAATCTAGATTCTCGCTCTAGTTTGCTTCTCTTTTACTGTGATGAAATGTTGATCAAAAGCAACTTGAGAAGGGAGGGTTTATTTCAGATATGAATCAATCATCAGGGGAAACAGGGCAAGAGCTCAGGGCAGGAACTAAAGCAGAGACCATGGAGAAACACTGTTGAGCTTGCTGTTTCTGGCCTGTTTGGCCATCTTCCTTTTGGGGCCCAGACCCACCTGTCCAAGGATGGTACTGCCCACTGTGGCTGGGCTCTCCTACATCAATTAGCAATAAAATGTCCCACAAAAATGCCTACAAGACAATCTGATAATGGCACTCCCTCAACTGTGGTTCCCTCTTCCCAGGAGTGTCAAAGTGACAATGAAACCATGACACCCACTGGTCTTCAAGTCTACTTTGAATAGTTCTTTCTGGATGTGGCTGTGGCATTCTTGGTCACCAAAGAAGGTTCTCAAGTCAACTTATCTTTCCTTCTGAACTCTTCCAATACTATTTGGAAGTACCAACTCATTCAGCACTTGTTCTTACTGTCAATATAGACCACTCAAATGTGTAGTAGAAAAAGCCCCAGTTTAGGCCACAGCAAAGGTTAGTCAATGCCTACAAATCCTAGCATGTATCTTGAAGATATAGAATGTGCATCCCATTAAGAAGGCGTTTACAGCTCTGGAGTGAGGACCATGGTTCCCCAGGGAGGGCCCTGCTTCTACAAAAAGGGGGATGGTGGTATGGAGAGGATGCTAGGGGATACCCTGCTATATTAACCCAATTTGCCTTGCCCTTTACCTATTGACTACATGCCCATGACCATATGGTTTAGGTTGGAGAGAACTTGTTGGCTTTATTTTTGTGAACATAAAAAAGGAAAATATCAGAAAAGCTGGTTGGAAGGGATGGTGTCTATAGTCTGTTCCAATTCAAAACTCCCTTGATCATTATAGCTACTTTCTGTATAAAAGAAGTAGGAGAATATCATTCAGCCTTACATAGGAATGAAATCCAAATACATGCTGCCATGTGGACAAACCTTGGAGATACTATGCTAAGTTAGATAATTCCGCTTACATGAGGTACCTATAATAGTGATGCTCATAGCAGCAAAGAAAATGATGGTTACCATGCTGGAAGAAGAGGATAACAGAGGACTGTTATTTAATAGGTTTTATTTAATGGGCAGTGCTGATGATTACATGATGTTGTGAATGTACTTGATGCCGAAATTCATATAAGAAAATGGCTGAAATGATATAGTTTACAAAACAAAATCACATGTCCACAGGTATGCCTATCTCAAATGTGTTTGACGTTCATCATCTACCTAAAAAGCATAATAAATATTTGTCGACTGAGTTTTGCTTTTTTAAAAAAAAAAAAAGGTTGGGATAAGGGCTTAAAAATTATTTGGGAGCTGGAAATGGTGATGCACACATTTAATCCCAGCACTCAGGAGACAGAGGTAGGCAGATTTCTGTGAGTTGGAGGCAAGCCTGGTTGACCCAATAAGACTGTGCGCTCGCGCGCGCGCGCGCGCGCGCGCGTGCGTGCGTGTGTGTGTGTGTGTGTGTGTGTGTGTGTGTGTGTGATTGTTACATGTCTTGATGTTTATTTTGCAATTACGTTGATTTTTAATAGATTGCATGTTATATTCCCTGGTTTGGGTGGACAATAAGAGACAGGGAGCTCCTTACCATCGCACTTCCTGGAGCACCATGGTCCTCTCTCCAAGGCTGTTAATGCCTTCCAAGCAGGATAACACCCCCAGACCCACAATGGGAGTTGTCAGCATTGACTAACATTCATTCCATTAGAGATAAACGTGGTTGAGGGATTTTTCTAGAACTGAATCTGGAAAGGATTATTCATTATATTATTCAAACCTTAGAACTATGAGACAGTAAGTTGAAAGAATGCTTCAAAGAGTTCCCTAGATGATGAAGATGACTTCTTCCCTTAGAAATAAGTAAGACCTCAAGCAACCCTCCCCAGAGCTACAGGTCCTTATAGATCAAGAATTGTGTTAGGCACCAAGGTGCCATTGCTAGGCTTCACCTGGCAGCTCCTGCCATGCTATTTGCTCTCTCACTTCCCAGAAGTGGGTGCTTGTTTTTAACAGATGTTTCAGGATATGGAAGAGAGCAATACAGAATTCCAGATGTAACATTTGCCCTTAAACGAAAAGGAACTGATAAAAGGGTATTTATAATATGATTGATCTAAAAAGCTCAAAGCTGCTCCGACTCATCACAGACCAGACCAGAGTCCTCATCCAGTGGCTGATGGAAGCAGAGACAGACATCCACAAAAATACACTGAGCTGAAATCTGGAACCTAGTTGAAGAGAGGGAGGAATGAAGAATGAAGGGGTCTGTCCCAGGTTGGAGAAACCCACAGAAACAGTTGGCCTGAAAAAGGGAAACCATATCGACCCCAGACGCTCTTTGGGAGGCCAGTACGGGACTAATCCAGCCCCCTGATCATGGATGCCAATGGGGAGGCCCCTGCACTCCTGGGAGCCTCCGGAGGTGGACTGGCATTTTGCCCTGGTATGTGTTAATAATAATAATAATAATAATAATAATAATAATAATAATAATAATAATAATAATAATAATAATAATAATAATAATAATAATAATAATAATAATAATAATAATAATAATAATAATAATAATAATAATAATAAAAAGAAAAAAAAAGCTCAAAGCTGTAAACAATATGCACGGCTCATTAAAGTCACAGAAATAGCTAAACAAACTGAGTTAGCACTCTGGCATTTCTGTCGATCTTTAACCATAAGCTGGTCAATATTTACCTTCCGGATCCCATTCTTATTTTTATTTCACCACTTTTCTATTAATGAGGCTTACAATCACTCATATTTTTAAAACAGGCTTTTAACCATTCCCAGAACAAATTGGGGTTGTGCACAGTCCTGTACATTCTGAGGAATTGAGACGGGGTGAGTTCAAATCCTCACTGGAAAGGCTGCTAACCGGGCTGGGGAGATGGTCTGCAGAGATGTCTCCATGGTTGGGAGAGCTGGCTGTGCTTCTAGAGGAGAGGGTTTGATTCACAGCCTCCACATGGCTCACAACTGTCTGTAGCTCCAGTTCCAGGGGCTCTGACATCCTCCTGTGGCCTCCCTGGGTGCCAGACAAGCACTGGTACACATATACACACGGAGGCAAATGTTCATACACATACAAAATTTTAAAAACATGTAAGCTGCTAATAACGAAAACTAAACTTAGGTCACTTTTTACCAAGTTATGTTTTCCTTAAGCAAAATTAAAATCTGATCATTTAAATTTCCTTCTTTGATGTTAATGTAATTCTCATTTACACTAATGGGAAGCCTACCATTGTTACATTTTAAAAGTATACATTTAGGGCTGGGGAGATGGCTCAGAGGGTAAGAGCACTGACTGTTCTTCCAGAGGTCCTGAGTTCAACTCCCAGCACCCACATGGTGGCTCACAAGCATCTGTAATGAGATCTGGTGCCCTCTTCTGGCCTGGAAGCATACATGCAGACTGAATACTATATTCATAATAAATAAATCTTTTTTTAAAAAGCATATATTTAAATATCAACTGGTAAAGTTACCTAAATTAATTTAAACCTAGATAATTAATTTAGGAGATTTAAAATATTTATTTTTTAAGGTTAAAACCAGTGTGCAATTAATTTCTTTGAAAGAACAGAGAAAGGAAAGAGAAGGAATAGAAAGGAAAATAGTCCTGCTACATTCCCCATTGTGGTAATTAACCTCAATAATTAGATATTAATATTCTATGTTGTTAGGTTTTATATTTAAATAGCCATATTTATGGTAAGTAAAGGTTTTTTTCTTTCCTGTTTTAGACAGGTTGGTAAGTCATTTCAATAAAAGATACAAATAAATTATTCAAAGCTGCATGCCGATTTCCTTGTCTAATCAGGAAGAAGTAACAAATCTGCTATGTGATCACCAAAGAAATTATGGGCACAGTATTTTCCTATGGATTACTAATTAAATTAAAGATTCAGTCCTTATTAAAGATGCTTTAACAAGGAGGTCAGGGAGGTGGCTGGTTCAGTACCATGCTTGTTGTGCAAGCATGAGAAACTGAATTCCAATCCTCGATACCCCTTAAGAAGCCCACCTTGCCTGTAGTTCCCGACACTGAGAGTCAAGGACCCCAATATTTGCTAGGGTCATTGAATTTGTGAGTTCCAGGTCCAGTGAAACCCTGTCTCAAAAATTAAGGTGAAGAGAAATTGAAGATGACAGCCAAAGTCAACTTTTAGTTTTCATGAATGAGCACACATAAACAATTTACACACAGATATAACCACACACACAAATAACAACAATAGATTTGGTCCCCAGATAGGCATAGTGGCACATACTTTTGACTTAGGACTCAGGAGGTGAGAGGAACAGAATCAGGTCATGGCCAGACTCAGCTACATATGTGAGACTAGCATGGACTATAAGAGACTGTCTTTTATTGCTTTTAAAGATTTATTTATCATATATACAGTGTTCTGTCTAGATATATGCCTGCAGGCCAGAAGAGGGCACCAGATCTCATTACAAATGGTTGTGAGCCACCATGTGGTTGCTGGGCATTGAACTCAGGACCTCAGTGCTCTCCAGCACATGAGATTATCTTTCTTTTTTTTTTAAAAAAAAAAAATCCATTAATGGAAAAACTTTTTAATATCAAAAGACTTGATTACCATTACATACATCACGATGGAAATCAAATTGCAAAACATATGTTTATGAACATACACTTGTAGCAAAAGGTATTCAATCACCACAAGAAAGAGATGTGCTGATTTCTTAAATGAGTATCATCATCACACAAATAAAACCACAGCTTTTATTAAAGAACATTTTACATAGAAGATTGCTAAAAGATCACACAACTATCCACCTTAGCCACAGTTGAGTTCTTACCTGTGGATTCCAAGACTGCCTATTATCCTTTTAAAAAATCTATAATTGTTTTCTACTTTAAGTTTATTTTTGAAATTATGTCTTAGAAAGTACTATGCTGTAGGCTGAGGATGCAGCTCAGATGGTATAATACTTGCCAAACATGCCTGGGGCCCTGGGATCCATCCCCAGCACTGCATAATAACCTGGTATGGTGGCACATGCCTGTAATACTAGCACTATGGAGATGGAAACAGGAAGATCAAAGGTCATCCTCTGCCTCACAGGGTTTGAGGCCAGCCTGGGATACATAAGACCCTGTCTAACTTACTAACTAAATAATAGAATGATATTACCAAGTTGCAGCCAAGTATCCTTTTGTGCATGTGTGTGTAAGCATGGCCCAGTGTTTGTAGATGCAGGCGTGTGTGCCTGCAGAAGCCCAGAGCTGAAGTTTATTGTAGCTTCACTCTCACGGAACCTGAAACTGGCTCTAGCTACCTAGCTAGCCAGTCTGTCCTGATGATCCACCTCTGCCCTGATTGCTGGGAGTACTGGAGGACAGCTATGCCTGTCCATCTTTTGTATGGGTTTGGGGGATGTGAAGTACTTTATGCTATGAGCTATGCCCCCCCCAAGCCTTTTACTATCTTCATTCCCTTACCTGTCCCTTATCTCAGGTCATGTTAATAAACAGACACCGTAGGAAACATGATTTCACACTAATTGTGAGAAACAGGAAACAAAACTTTTATTTCCAAACTTCCCCAGGCAAAAGCATGAGTGCTGAGTCCTACTGACCTCATTAGGGCAGAGAAAGTATTTTAACAAGGACATTTACAAAGACTCCCACCTAGAAATTCTCATATATGCCATTCTTGCCTTTAAAACTGAAGGTGTTTGTTTTTAATTGATTACATGTTTAACCTTGAAGCAGTTTTAGTACAACATAAAATAGAATACAGCATGTTTTTCTAATATTATTCAAGGTTGAAATAAAGGCAATACCTATATAATGATTTACCTTTATTGCCTGTGTTTTATTGGTCTTCTGTGTCTAAAAAGAAATTAGCATTTTCTCTCCAAGCACAGTTTTACTGCAAGAATAGTAATTTAAATCAACAATAACAAATGTCACACTACAGAGCATGACTCTAGGGTGCAGTTAGCAAACAAGCAGTGGCTTAGTTCAAACACTTGCTAAGAGGGGGTATTTGTTCTGTTCAAAACATGTAGCTTTACATGTCTTTTTTTTTTTTTTTTTGCTTTTGCTTTACGTGTCTTACATAATGACTTACATCATGACTGAGAACTAACTTCAAAAGTAGCATTAAAGTCCTTAAAAATACAGTGACTTACATCATGACTAAGAACTAACTTCAAAAGTAGCATTAAAGTTCTTAAAAATAAAGTAAGTTAATACAACAGCAAACAGGTGTGTGCAGGAGTTAAAATGTTGCTTGCATTTTCCCTTCTAGTCTACTTTCAGAGGCCTGGCTAACTAAGGTCATTCAGCTAGTTCAGCCAGCCATAGTTTAGGGGACTGTTTTCTGCCTTAGACTGGAGTGGACCTAAGTCTTACCAACTTATCGAACCTGGGAATTAAGGGTAAAGATCCAAAAAAAAAAAAAAAAAAAAAAAAAAAAAAAAAAAAAAAAAGGTTCTGTTCCGCACATGGGGTGCATGCACCTAAGTGGCGTGGCCTGCACCCACGGCCTCACGCCACTGTCCTTTGGAAGTGAACACCCTCACACAGTGGGCAGACTTCCACGTATCCAGTCCTGGTTTTAAAGATGGAAATCTCCAAAGTATACACTGTGCTTGCTTACGTGTTTTCCCTGGATTTTCTTTCACACCTCTCGTCTGACAGTCTATGGGATTTCAGCCAAAGTCAGGTTACATGTTTAGGCGACACCCACTCATGCTGTCCACACCCGCTGCCTAGACACGTCTCACACAGCCATACTTTAAAATATAGCAAAGGGGTGAAGATTTATCTAAATATAGTCCCGGTCTGTTTACACTCATCCAACGGGTCTCTAGAGGCAGTCAATGTAAACCCATGATGAAGTAGCATCTCTTAAACTGCTCCCTGACTTCTTGACAGCTATGTCATCTACACGTGGAATCTGGGCCTCTGCTTTTGACCATTCTCAGATCAGCTCATTCAACCTAGAAGCTAGTGGGAGGACTGAAAAGAATCAAGCGGGGGAAGAAAGTTGCTTGCTACTCTGTCTTCCCGCGCGGATCTCTTGCGGCGGCTCCCGCAGAGCTAAAGGGGCCAAGGGAGCCTCCCGGCTGGCCACTCAGGCTCTGTCGCTGAGGCCACGGCCAGGCCGGGGCAGCCTCGCTGCAGTGGCCGAGACCCTCGCAGGCCCAGCCGCGGAGGCCAGCAGCCTTCACCCGGAGACCGACTCACCTGCCCTCCCCGGAGGCGATGGAGCGCGCGCCGCTCGCCGGGACCCAGATGCGCAGAGGAGGAGACGCTGGCGCGGGGACACGGGGGAGGGGTGGCGTAAGCAGGAAAGAGGATTACCTAAGCGGGGATGTGGAGCCCAGAAGGAGGCTACAGCTTTTCCCTGAGAAACGGAAGAGGCGGAGGAGGGGCAAGCGAGGAGGAAGGGAGTGCCAACTCTAGGAGGTGGTCGCGCGGGACTCGGCGCCGGAGTCCTGGGGCGGACGCAGCCGGAGGGCGAGCGCTTGGGAGGATCTCGGAGGTCACCGCAGCGAAGGCGGGGAGGCGCCCTGCTCTCCTGGCTCCCAGTCTTGCAGCCTAGCTGCTGCCAGGTCCCCGCCCTCTCTCTTCCTCGGCTGGTGGTGTGGAAAGGCGCAGTGACGCCTCTGGCTTCTGGGGCGGGCGAGGGCATCCCACGCCTGCCAGAGTTTGGCGTTCGTGACGTCACAAGTGAAGCACGGTGAATTGCACGGGAGGGCCAGGAAGCTGGGGGTCGCCTCATCCACAGTTCATGGTGTGCGTGGTTTCTTCCGACCCACCCACAAACTTTTTTAGAATATTCCTCCTACATTCATTAGGACTCGGGTATTGTGGCTTTGACAGATGGGTTGGAAGCTGTGAAGCTGGACTCGTGCTGTAATAGAGGAGTGTGGGTTGCTGCATGTTCCTTTAGCCAAAGCCGTGTCTTCTGTGTGGGCCAAAGGCCAGACAGACAGGAATCTTGGGTGGGAAACTCGTCTCTCGCTGCGTCCCTTTAAAGTAGTGCTCAGTGTGCCTTTAAGGATAGTTGGGCATGGTAGTTGGAAATAGGAATGATTGGTGATGGACGATGGGCAGCAAGGGTGGGAACATAAAACTTTGGGATGGAAGGGGCTCAGGCCTTCAGTGAGCCTGGCCTTCTAAAGCAGTGCTTTACAGGCCTTTTTACTTTATACAACTAGGGCAGGACAACACTCAAAGCCCTCAAAAAGCCTGCAAGAAGAGGTGGCCCTTGCAGGAGATGGCCGGAACTGGACCCCCTTCCACAGTTCTTGCTAGCAGGTTTTCTCACCTACCTTCCCCACACCGTGCATCACCGTGATGGCAACTCTCTGAACAGGGAGCCACTAGGACTGGAGCCTGGGGCAGTGCTGTGAAAAGCACAGCATGTAGTTTAAAGTGTTCGTATCTCTGTGACTCACTGAGCTGGCTCCTGTAGGTCTCACCCATTTCCTGCTTTCATTCACTGGCAGGCTCAGAGGATGCAACCTGCTCTCCCAGGTCATCTTAGTTTATTTTCTCATGTGGGGTCTCACTCTATAAGCCCTGCTGGCCTCAAATTCACCATCCTCCTGCTTCAGCCTCCTGAGTGCTGGGAGTGCCATAGACGCTCAGATTGTCCTTTAGATCCGTTCTCTTAAGTCCCTCCTCGCTGTACTGTTGTTATTAATTATGAAATCAGATCTATAACAGCAAAGTAAAAAATAATATAAATTTGATATTTTAGGGAAGTAGGCAGAAGGCGAAGGATTTTTATCTAGGAGCAGAATTGGAGAGGAGGGTAGAGTAAGGGCTCTGAATCCAGTCCACTTCTCTGCAGGTGCAGATGTCACCCTGTAACACATATCCCTGTGAGTCTCTTGCTGGTAATACTAGGAGCAAGCTCCTTGGTGACCAAGGCCCATGGTCCCCTCTTATCTGTCCACTTTGCCACTCACATTTATTGACCCTTTTACCAAACCTGGTCTAGATATCAATGTTGTTCTTTTGCTTCAAATGCTAGGATAAAGCTGGAAGTGGGTCCCTAAGTTGGGGGGTCATGGCGGATTCCATGGCCGGCCCGGTGACCGAGGCTGGGGACAAACATGCCAGGCAGACAGAGCTTGGGTGAGAAGTTTTATTAGAAGACAGGGCAGGAAGGAAAGAGAAAAGAGGTAAAGAGACACAGAGAGAGAACAGAAGAGGGAGACAGGAGCAGAAAGAGAGGAGAGCAGAGAGAGAGAACAACCGGAAAGACAACAGAAAGAGCAGAAAAAGGAGAGCCGGAAAGAGCAAAAAGAGAGCATAAGTGGGCAGGGGTCTGTCTTTTAAAGGGGTCCTTTGCTCCTGCTTGCAGACAAGTACTCATGGAACCCTGGGCTGACCAGAGTACTGCCTGAGGGCATTCTGCCAAGTGACAGGGGCAGGCCAGCATAATGCCTGAATCCTTACATTCAATCCAGAAATATTTATAACTCCACATTTGTGGATGCCATTGCTACCGCTGTAAACAGTCTCTTGCAGCTGTAACACAGTTATAACAGTTGTGTAACTGGTAAGTCTCACTTCAATCATGACTGGCAAAATGATACAGCAGGTGAAAGTGATTCCCACCAAGCCTAATGGCCTCAGTTTGGTTTCTGGTACCCACATGGTACCATAAATATTATAAATATTTATGTATTATTATATCAAAGAATTATTATAACATAATATTATAAAATATTTATGAGACAATTAAGATGTAAAAGGGTTAATTTGCTCAAATATGTAGTATTTGGTGAGGCTAAGTTTGAACCTGGAAATTTGGCTTTAGTACTTACCCATTCATCATTTTAATAAGTTTCTCAGACTTGGTTTAACTGTAAAGTGGTACCCACAAGCTCACACATTTGTATATTTTGTTCCTAGCTTGTGGTGCTCTTTTGAGAGTTGCAGAACAGTTTGGGCCAGGGGTGGGCATGGGGGAATGGTGGGTGGCCTCACTGGAAGAAGTGAGTGGCTGAGGAGTGAATACTGATATTACAGCCTGGTCAGTTACCAGCTTCTCTGCCTCTATTTGGGGTTGGTTTTTGTTGTGCTTGTTTGTTTTTGTTGGTTTTTTCCTCTGTCTCTGTCTCTCTCTCTGGAAGGAAAGAATGTGGAAGAAGTTGGCGCTGCAGACTAAAGGAGCCTTAGAATGCTATATGCAGAGCTTAATAGGCCATTCTAGTGGCAATATAGAAGAGCAGAATGCCAATTGGAAGACAGACCAGAAAGCAACTTCTCAAGAGGTTTCAGAGGGGAAGGAGGGCTCTAGGTGAGGGAACTGGCCTGGAGGCCAATTGTGTTACATTCTCACAAAGACTCCGGCCACATTTTCTCTAAAGGCAAGCAAAGCTAAAGTCAAATGTAAGGAATTTTGTGGAGGAAATTTGAAGCAGCATAGGATTTGTTCTTGCTGCTTGTATCTAGATTTGCAGTGAGAACTCTGGGCAGAAAGTATAACAGAAAGATGTGAAAAATATGCATTTGGGGCCAGGAAGGGAGGGGGAGTAAATTTTATAGTCATGGACAAAGTCACAGCTAGAAATGCTGCTGACTGTTAAAGTGAATAGCACAACCTAGAGAGAACTTTCCAGCTCTCCACTGCAATAGGAATGGCTCTCTGAGTACAAGACTCCATGATTGGAAAGCTGCTAGACAACCTACACCAACTCAACCAGCCAGGGAGCTGCTTAATTAGGTTCAGCCATCTTGGTACCCGGAGGCTGCCACAGCTGATGTGAGAGGGAGCCAGGCTACAGCTTGAGCCAGCAGCAGAATTTACTACTGATTTTGCAAGCATGTAAGATTCCAGAGTTACAGTATTGTGGAAGGTTCTAGACAGCCACTGTGGGCTGGTAATATGGAGTGGGACTGGACTCCATGCATGGAACAGTATCTCAGGGGGCAGTTCAAGAATCTTTGAAGGTGAAGCCTAAGTTGCAATGGATTTAAAGATGGTAGAGAGACCAGAACATGAGATATTTGCCAAGGGAAGCTGCAGCCAGAGACTGGAGTTGGCCCAAGAAAGACCACATGTGCTACAGGCAACAGAGCTACAGGGAGAGTAACCCAAGTCCTTTAGATTCCTGAAGGTGCCACCAAACATAAGGCTGCAGGGTTTGGCATAGAGGGGTTTGGGTTTTGTCTTGGTTCAGTCTTTCCTTGCTATGGTCTGTTACCCCTTTCTGAACGGAATTTCTCTGTGTCTTTGTATATTGAAAATACGTGACTTGTTTTTTGTTTGTTTGTTTGTTTTGTTTTGTTTTGTTTTCCCTTAGCTTTCATAGTTAAGAGATTGCCTGCAGTCTTAGACTGTGGACTTTCAGCTTCTGAACAGTGTTGAAGCTATATGACAATGTGGACCTTTGCAGTTGGACAGAGTCCATTTTTCACTATGAAGTGGCGATAAGCCTATAGGGGGTGGGAATGAAATACTGTGGTTTAAATATAAAATGAACTCCTGTATTCAAGCACTCAATCCCCAGCTGGGAGCACTGATTAGGGAGGTTTTGGAACTTTCTGGATGCGGGGTCTAGCTTAGAGAGGAAGAGCAACAGCACAGCTCTGGGTCTGGTGTGAGCTCTCTCCTTGCCTCCCTTCCTCTTTGTCCCTCTGCCCACTCCTCTTCCTTGGTCTGAATTTAACCCTAACATCTGTAGTCTCTTTAATAAATATATCTGCAGTTTCAATATCTGCATACAGTTGGTTCTTGTTATGACAGACTAGTGTATATTAAGGGACACTTGGTCATCACAGACTTTTATTCCTCATTGCAACAGGCCAGGGACCCTAACATCTGTAGTCTCTTTAATAAATATATCTGCAGTTTCAATATCAGCATACAGTTGGTTCTTGTTATGACAGACTTGTGTATATTAAGGGACACTTGGTCATCACGGACTTTTATTCCTCATTGCAACAGGCCAGGAACATTTTTTTATCTGAGGTAATGATTTACATGCATTGTGGGTATGAATTTGAATTAGTATTGTGAGGTCCCTGTGTGGGAATGTAATACTCTTGACATTATTCCTAACTGCTGGAAAGCAGTGTTTGAAAAGTAACATTCCTGCATTTTATTAGGCAATTATGTACTACAGTGTATTGGTGTTCAGATATCAGTAGATGTGTGTGTGTGTGTGTGTGTGTGTGTGTGTGTGTGTGTGTGTGTGTATGTATTTGTATTCACATGTGCATGCATGCATTGTGTACATGTGTGTGCTTGTGTATTTGTGGTCTTTATGTGTTGTCTAGGATGGCCTCCTACCTCAGCCCTGATCACAGAAGCTATAAGCACACACCTCTATCCCTGGCCGTAGTAGACTTTTCAGTGAAACTTTCTTATGTGTGTCAAACATGGAGACTGTACAAATACTGAGATGACTAACTGAGAGAAAGCTGGAGGAAATTTATCTCTGAAGCAGATGTTGGGATGGCTTTGAACACAAACTGAAACACAAATTTGGAGAGTCTCACTCTAGAAGATACACTCTCCAAAAAGAGAAGAGCCTACTATATTCTATTAGATTAGATTACTAGAATTACATGGTCAATGATAGGATTTTGCCAATTGCTCCTCAAAACACTCCTCGTGGTGATTGATATTGACCATCTCTTTTCTTTGCTGCATTTGTCATTAAATATACAACACCAAGAACATTCTCCTAGTTTCTCTGCTCAGCATCAGTGTGCTTTTATTATTAATGAGAAACCATATCTATTTTCCCTCTTCCTCTTTGGTTTTAGTTGCCTTTTTCACATTTGATCATTCTCTATTCATTAAACATATAAGTTCCTTAGAGAATGATCTGGTATTGTTTTAATATTTGTGAATAGTCAAGAAGTCTGAGATACTGAGAGATCATAGAAGCAACAAGGCATACTCATTGATTTTGTGAAATTCCACTAGCAATATAGCAAACGTGGAAGCCCAGCTCCACATGTTACAGATGTTTCCTTAGTTTGCCTTCCAATTTTATATAAAAGTTTTTTGAGATGGTGTAGCCCAGACTGACGGGGCCACACTTATCCATCCTTCCTTTATTTGTTTCCATTATCCCTTTCAAAGATGCTGGGCCATAGATGGCAATACTCCAAAGACAACTCAATGCTAAAAAATTCACCTTTTTGGAAATAGTCTTAACATTTATACTTTCAGATGAAACTTATTTGGTATCTCCAGTGATCTTTTCTGATTATATAATTATTGCATTGTTAAGAAAGGTTTATGGAGACTTTGAAACGTGAAAAATATAGAAAAGGAAATAGAAACTATAAGTGTTGGCATTTTGGATATAGATTTTAGCCTTTTGTGTGCATATATGGATGAAAATCACTATATATTGTTTTTTAAAGTGCCCTTTAGCCATTATGGAAGACCGTTTTTTTCAAGCCATC